CCAATTAAGTCTTGACCTAGCCACAGACTTAGGCAGGATGGAAAACTCCAAACTGGTCTACTTAAGGCTTGCTTCTGATGAATCTGTTTAGATGAATTTGGGGGTTTATGGCTCATACTGTGAAACCCAATGCATTACTGAATTCTGCGTGGTTTGGGTATATCTTAGCAAATCTTTAAAGATAGTATGGGAGCCATCTGGCACACACAGTGACCCAAAACACAATCATGTGGTTAGATGAACATCACTGATGGCCTACAGTGGGCTCTACAGCAGGAGTCTGCTTTCTGCCAGAAAGAATGCACACTATGGGAGCAGAGCCAGAGAAATCCCCTCAAAAATCCTCAGAGGGCCTAACAGCATGTCCACTCCAGGGCCACTGGAACCCTAGCTTGGTCCTCAGCAACGCTCCGGAGACACTGAAGGACCCAGAAAATGGCATTTGTCTCTCTCTGGCTAATGGGCTTGTATAAAACTGAAAGAATCAGCCCACCTCACAGCCTAATTGAGTGGCTGTTGTGGGATATGTGTACGCTGTGTGAAGATGTATTGTTGTTATTGAGGTAATGAAAAGCTGAATGGCCAATAGCTAGGCAGGAGAGGTTAGGCAGGATTTCCGGGCAGAGAGAGGAAGAGGAAGAGGAATCTAGGCAAGAGAATTTTGCCAGTAGACTAGAGAGGTAACCCAGCCACATGGCAGAAGGTAGATTAAAAATATGGGTTAATTAAGTTATAAGAGCTAGTTAGAAACAAGTCCAAATTAAAAGTCAAGCTTTCCTAATTAATAGTAAGTCTCCATGTAGTTATTTGGGGACTGTTGGGGATCCAAAGATAGCCCAACATGAAAGCTTGCTATGGGCAGCAGTAGGTCAAAAATGTGGTGAAAGGGGTCACTCCTAAAGAGTGAAGTCAAAGTCTCTCTCTCTCTCTCTCTCTCTCTCTCTCTCTCTCTCTCTCTCTGTCTGTCTCTGTCTCTCTGTTTGGGGACAGGGTTTCTCTGTGTATCCCTAGCTGTCCTGGAACTCATTCTGTAGACCAGGCTAGCCTCAAACTTACAGAGATCCACCTGCCTCTGCCTTCCAAGTGCTGGGATTAAAGGTGTGTGCTGCTACTGCCCAGCTCAAAAATCAAAGTCTCTTGGGTCAGTTGCTCCAAGTAGATTCTGAAAGACTTGCCTAAGATCTTTTTCTTCCTCTGGAAAACTTCAAAAATTGACCAGAGGCCACCTTTTACATTGAAATCTGAACCCTTGGTGACTATCATCCTGTATTCCAGAGAAGAGAGAGAACACATTCACTTAGCAAGGCCTGCAAATGGAGACAGGAAGTTAAGAGGCACTAAGAAATGATGGGGGCAAGGGGATGCTGTGGGAGTCAGTCAGTTCCAGAATTGCTTAGAGCAAGCTACCTACAATGACATCCCAGAGGAAACTTGTGAAGCTGGTACCTGGATGCCTATCACAGGTCCTAGGAACTATGTGAAAAGGGAAAGACAGAGATGGAGGAAGAGCATGGCATATCTTACAGACAAGGCCTAATCCCTTTCCTCTCCAGTGCTGGGGAAAGAGACATCAGCATGTCTGTTTTCACGTCAGTACTACCCACAATAGCGGAGATGGCTGTCAACTCTAAGATCCAACTGACAGGTGGATAAAGGAACTGGCACATAGCTACAATGGAATACTGTTGGGCACAACAGTGGAGGAAATCTTATCATTTGGGATAAAATAAATGGATCTGAAGGTTATCATATTAAGTGGAAAGAGGGGACAGTGATAGAAGACAGCCATGACATGTTCCCTTACTTGGCATGTAGATGTTAAGGAAGTTGAGGGTATGATAGAAGTAGAGTGTAACCATGGTAATTACCAGATGTTAGGGACGGGGGACTAGGTCTGGAGAGATGCTGGGTAAAGAATACACAATTTCGTGGGGCTGGAGAGATGGCTCAGTGGTTAGGAGCACTGGCTGATTTTCCAGAGCACCTCGATTCAATTCCCAACACCCACATGGCAGCTCACAACAGTTTGTAACTCAAGTTCTAGAGGATCCAATATATTCACACAGATATGCATGCAGGTCAAACACTAATGCACATAAAAGTAAATAAATCAATTTTTTTTTAAAAAAAGATTTCAGTTAGGATGAATAGGTTCAAGAATCTGTTGTACAACATGGTGATGACAGGTTTCAGTGTATGAGTAATTAAAAGTTGCTGAGAGTAGATTTTCATATTCTAGCCACAAAATAATGATATATGAGATAATACAAATGCCAATTTGCCTAATGTAGCCATTCTACACTGTGTGCAGATTTTAAAGTATCAGGTATAGTTAAGTATTATAATATGTATCTGTCAATTAAAAAATAATAATAAAGGCCCCGCCTGGCCCATCTTTGATTCATCAGAAAAAGAAAAAAGATGAATTGCACATCTTAGTCTGGAGGAGAAGCCAAGAGCTTGTAAGTGGAGGTACCCTTGGGCTGGGCCTTACCAAACACAAGGAATGATAATCCTAGGTCTTAAATTCACCAGTGAAATGTCTTCAACCCCTCCAGGCAAGAAACACACCAAAGAGGATGGGCCAAAGAGTAAGCTGGAGTCAGAAGCACCTGGCACCCAGCACATGGGAAAAGCAGCATGTAAGCACACAAACAGGTCCATAAGGTTGCAGTCTTAGTCAGAGCATGGTAAAGGACATCATAAACACCCAGGGCAAGAGACCAAAAGCCCTCATAGGAAACCAGCATCTCTCTGAGAGGTGTCTCCTAGTGCAAGGTCAATAGAACAGCCCTCAGAGTCTAGCCCGATGCCCCTCTGTGTGCTTATAGTGGCCACTGTGCATATTCTTTAGCTTGTTGTGACACCATCTGGTCAGCAGGTTGTAAAATTGTACTGCGGGGTAGGTAGAGGTGAGTGAGACAGCTTTCTGCTCACTTGGGCTACAAGCCACCTCACACAGGTAGCTGGGTGTGGTCTGCACAAACTGGTTCTCAGAGGCCAAGTCCTTTAACTCCTTTGTCTATTCACGGGAGTAAAAGAAAGACTGCTTTCTCTGCTCTGCTCAGTAGCAGAGGGATAAGGTCCGCCTTGGTGGCATCAAAGCTGCTGTTGCCTTCCAACTGCTTGTCAATGGAGATAAGCAGGCAGGGTCTTTCCTGTTGGGCTCTAAAGTGTGTTATAGGACTGTTTCAGAATAGTCATTAGTTCTGCCTCCTAGTTGAGGCCCTAGTAACAGCTGACTGGTATTCTCCAAGCCTACAACTTGGCACAGTTGACAGTAATTGATGACCGGCTAGCCACTAACTAGGTGTTAAGTCCTGAAGAGCATCATAGGGAAACAACCCTAAAGGTGACCCTGAGAAATCAAGCCCCCCAGCCAGAGTGCATGAGGGTCAGACAAAGCCTCCCTGTGTCATTCAGTGTCTGCCACTTCCCAGGCCTTATTTAAAGTAGGGCATTAATACTGCATTTCCTTTGTCTTCCTCTGATGCTGGGAGTGGAGCCCAGGCCCCTGTGCATGTAAGAAAGCACTTAACCACTGGGCACCAGCCCCAGTTTGGGACATCACTTTTAAATTTGACATGACTTAGCATGGCTAGGCAGTCTGTTCTTAAGTTTTCTTAGAACTTGGACACTCCAATTTTTAAGCTGGGAGAACTACCAACAACTGTGTTTAATTGTTGGCATGGAAGCAAGGCTCATTTTTCTAGTTTTGACCTTTTAAAGTATATCACTTAATTAGTTATTCAAAATGTAAAACAGGGCCAGTCTGCAAGACAGCTGAGCAGGTAAAATCACTCACCTCCAAGCCTGATGACCTGTGTTCAGTCACCAGAATCCACATGGTAAAAGGACAGAAATGATTCCCACAGTTTGTCCTCTGGCCCACACACACATACTGTGGCATGGGCATGCACCACACACACTCACACATACGCACACACACACAGAGATGCATGTATGCAATCATCATTCACAAACACTTGCAAATAAAATAGATTTATTTTTAAAAGGCCACAGCAACTTTTAAAGTTGAAACCCCAGATGTACAGCTGCTGGCCATGGGGTTGCTTCTCGAGGGGCAGCCTAGCTGCTCAGCTTCCTCACCTCATGACCACAGCATCACTTCTGTGGCTCCTGTACTTAGGCATTAGTGGTCTGGTCCAACCTTTTGCCTTGTAGATGGGGAAAGGAAGGTCCAGGGAACCTGGATACCTCTCTTTCCATAGGACACTTCTCAAAATAAAGAAAGAAAAGAAAACAAGATAATCCTCTTGAAAGATTTATTTTAATTAAAAAATAAAAATTATCTTAATGTATCTGCATTTGCAGCTTCAGGGATGGCAACTTAATGAAGCAGGATAACCAAGGCTCATAAGTTCTTTTTGTCACCTGACCATCTTATAAATGTACAAAGGCACACGTGTCTCCAAACAGACAAGCAGGACTCGGAGATGTCCTAGTAACTCGCAACTCCCTCCAACTCCCTTTTTGCCTGCCTTCAACAGTTTTCCCCACCCCACCCTCCAAAAAGAACCCCAAAACAGTCAATTCTCTTAAAACTACAGAAATAAGCACTGAGTCAGCAAGGAGCCTGGGCAGGCTTCCCAAGCATTCCCACCTGCCTCTCTCTGCTTTGCTGACTGGCTGGCTGCCCAGAGGGAAGCAAGGAGGGAGAAGAGCAGCCCTCACTTCAGGCCAGCCCAGCTTGTCACACTGACAGGCTGCTTGCTGTATCTAACCCCACAGCCATCACCCCAGCCTGGGCAAGCAGCTCCAAGGCGCTATCTCCCTTACTCAAGGGTATCTGTGGCTAACACAGCCTTGCAAGAAGGGCAAGTCCCAAGGCAAACAAATCTTCATCAAATGCTCAAGATGAAAATGCCTCTGGGAGGAAGGAGACAGGTGGTGCTCCTCCATCCACTGACTAGGCTTTAGAGTTCTTCTCTCCTGAGTCTCCTTGTCCCAGTCTCCCCCTTCCCCCAAAGAACACTAGTTTAGCTTAATGGTGGGGGTTCAGAAGAAGCTTCTGGCAACTCCTGGGGCTGGTGAGGTGGTTCTGCCACCTCCAGGGGGACATGGCATGCCTTGGGCCCCTGGGTATCACAGGGCTCCTCATGTCCCTGCAAGGACTCCAGGTGCTCTTGGCTCTGGGCCTGGCTGTTCATCTTCTCTTCAGCTTCGATCTCCTCTGATGTGGGAATAGAGTTCTTCTTGGGACGCCCCTTAGGTTTTGTGGGTGCTTCCTGTCCACCTTTAAGAACCTATGTGGGAAAAAAGAGAGAGAGAAGTTATTGAATCTAAGAAATCCCATCCTGCAGCCTCCTGGTCCTGGTTCACCTTCAGACAGCACTCTGTAGTTTCCCTCCCATAGCAAAGCCACAGGGTTTGGCCACATGTATTTTAAGGCCATCCCCTGTAGTCAGCTTCTTCCATGTTCAGTGGAGCCACCTACTTTAGTAAGGGAAGAAATTAAACTTCAAATGCTAATGTAGGGCTGGAGAGATGGCTCAGAGGTTAAGAGCACTGACTGCTCTTGCAGAGGTCCTGAGTTCAATTCCCAGCAACCACATGGTGGCTCACAATCATCCGTTATAAGATCTGGTGCCCTCTTCTGGTGTGCAGATATACATGGAAGCAGAATGTTGTATAATAAATAAATAAATAAATAAATAAATAAATAAAATCTTAAAAAAAAGAGCACTGGCTGTTCTTCCAGAGGCCCTCAGTTCAATTCCCAGCCAGCAACAACATGGTGGCTCACAACCATCTGTAATGAGATCTGGTACCTTCTTCTGGCCTCCAGGGATATATGCAGGCAGAATACTGTATTTATAATAAATAAACTTTAAAAAATGCTAATGTGGTAAATATCAAACTGACAGATTAAAAGGACAGGATCTATACAAGCAAGAGAATAAACACACTTGTGCAAATGGTCCCTGCATCATCTTTTTAAGACAATCTGACAATCCAAGTTAAAAGCTTTACAACATGAACCCCTTTAAAAAAAAGAAGTTCTTTGGGATAAATTCTCAACACCCACCAATGTCTAAAAAAAGGTTGATCTGCAAAACATGGTCAACCCAACATTGATTATAACAACAAATGCTAGAGTGGGTACCCTAAAAGTCAGATAATTACAGTAAATTCCAAAGAGACATTCCTGATAACCAAAACAATTATTAGGGAGGAGAGTGTTCGCTCGGGAAAGATTATGAATATATTTTTATAAAAGCCAAGTTATCATACAGCATAGTCCAACTTTGGGTCTAGACAGCTATATGCTACCTTATGGCAGAATCAAGATCATGGATAATGCTTCATCTTTAATGTTATGTTATTGTTAAATTTTCACCAAGGATCATTTATAAGAACTTCTGTTATCAGAAGAAAAGGTGTTAAAAAATAAACATTCTCCTGTTTGTTTGTTTGTTTGTTTGTTTATTGCTGAAGAGGTAGCTGGCCATCTTAGAAAGAGTTGTAACTACAAAGGCTAAATTCCAACTCTGCCGCTTCCCACCTTTGTCTTTGGGAAGCTCTTTAAGGAACCCAAGCCTCCCTTTCCTAGTCTGTAAAACAGGGCTCGGAGCATCTTCTACCACAGAGTGACTGGGAACAACTCATGTGTACATGAGAAACCAGGATGGTTGCTGAATGGTGGCTTTCTCCTGCTCATAGCAGCCTCTCCTTGGCTGACATCTTCTGGAAGCCTACCTGCCCTGCTCTTCTGAGTCAATCGTATTCTCTCCCTGCATGTTCCATGAGAACTTTCAAAAAAAAAAAAAATAACACCATCTCTACATGTGTATTTGCCAGCCCCTCCCACTAGCTCCCTGCACACAGCAAACATTTGACAACTACTGTGGACAGAACCGTTAAACACTTCAGAAAGTTTAAGAAAGATCAAAAGCTCAGCAAGGTGATGTATGCCTGTGATCCCAGAAGTTGGGAGGTGGAGGCAAGTGGATCAGGAGTTTAAGGTCATTGTTGATTATATAATAAGTTCAGGCCAGCTGAGCTACCTAAGATCCTATCTTTAAAAAAAAAAATAGAATTTAGGGAAATGGGGAGGTAGATATAACCAAAATGTATTGTTTACATATGTGAAATTCTCAAATACATATGTATTATAATATATACAATAGGCAAAAACCCCACATCCCAAATGGCCTTTGTTGGTATAAAAGATTTATATACTTATCCCATTTTGTGATCCACAAAAGAACCCCTATGAGACAGATAGAAATCATTTTTTAATTTTTCATAGTTTACTTTGGAAGGTAATATACTGCCCCTTCTTCCATCATCTCCAACCCCTGGTTCTGTGTAGTTAATGTTCTGGGCAGCTAGTGCGAAGACCTTTGGGAGAGCTTGAATCTAATAGAGAAGGGGTAGAAGATATTTTTTGCTACTTTCTATATTAATTAGATTCGTATCTCTGGGGCATAATACCTGAGATGAACAAACCTATCTGAAGGAAAGGATTCTTCTCACAGTTGTAGTGGTTTTATTTTGTGGTCGTCCCACTACTTTTGGACACGTGGTGAAGGCAGAATAGGTAGTTGCTAATTTCATGGGATCAGGAAACAAAGAGAAACATGAGGAGCTGTGGTCCTGGTGTCCACTCAAGGACACTTCCCAGTGACCTAACTTTCTTCCTCTAGGCTCCACATCTTAAAGCTCCCATCATTCCACTACCCCCGACAGCATTACAGGCTAGAGATGGAACCTTCTACACATGGGCCTTCAGGGTCATTCTAGATCCAAACTACAGAACATCTCTAATTTACCACTGTCTTCTCCATTTGAACAGTAGCTCCTTAGTGGCAAATCTCTCCAGACACTTCAACTGCCATGACCTTTCTATGTAGTCACTGGTATTTACCGACCCCCTCTCTTTCTACAAGGACAGAAAAGGGCCTTCTTGGTCTGAACTTCAAGAAGGAGTACAGTCACTCACCAAACTTTAAGTTCTTATTAAAACAGCTTTGAGATATAATTTGAATGCATGCCCAATTCAACAATGTTTAGTGTAATTGCCAGCTTGGGCAACTATCATTGCAATACAGTTTTAGAGCATTTTTCCTCATCCCCAATAGAAACTTTATACCCATTAGCACCAAATTCCCATCACCCACAACTTCTTTGCCTGCACCTCAGCAACCAGTAGTCTTCCCTTTGTCCTTACAGATGAATCTATTCTGAACAGTTCATACAAACAGAACCGTAACATGCGGACTTTGCTTACTTCACTTGGCACAGTGTTTTTTAAATTCACCTATGTTGTAGCATGTACCAGAAAACAACATTCACTTTATGTCTGTATCAAAGTTTGATGACTCACTCATCAGCTGATGGACACTTGGGTTACTTCTACCTTTGGGCTCTGCGAATAATGCTGTTATAAACATGGGTGAACAAATACCTCTTCAAGTTTCTGCTTTGACCTCATTCTAGTCTATACCCAGAAATGCAATTGCTACATCGTATGGTAACCCTATGATTAACATTCTGAGGACGTTTTCTAAAGTAGCTGCACCACTGTGCATTCTGCCAACAATGTGTGTGGATTTCAGTTCTCTACTTCCTCACCAGCACTTGTCATTACACCTTCCTGATTATAGCTATCCTCGATAGTTCAAAATGGGATCTCATTGTGGTTTTGATTTCCATTTCCCTGGTGATTAACAAGGTTGAGCAGCATTTCCTATGCTTATTGGCTATTTGCACATCTTTTAAAAATAAATTTAAAAATATATCATTCCCCATTCCTTTCCTCTGACACTTCTCATGTATTCCTCTCCACAGTGGTATCTTTCAAATTCATGGCATTCTTTTTTAATTGTTGAGATTAAACAATTAAAGTATACAAGTACAGCTTGCTCAATCTGTATACTGCTTCTTGTGTGTATACAATCCCAGATTTGACTATGTTGTATGGGAGGACCATTTATACATCTGTTTTGGAGGTAGGTCTGTTCAAATAGTCTCCTTAGAATACATCATAAGAGATTTTTTTAATAATCTAGATACGTGTTCCTAATCAGATAAAATATTTGAAAATATTTCTTCACATTCTAAAGGCTTTCTTTTCACTTTTTTCTCCCTTTTTATTGTTTTTACTTTGTGAAACTACCCTTCACAGTACACAAATTTTAATTTTCATAAAATCCAACTTAGTTTTTCTGTTGTTGATAATGTTTTTGTGTCACATATCAGAAGGTCTCATTTAATCCTAAGTCAAAAAAATATATTAACTCATGTTTTCTTCTAAGGCTTTTATGGTTTTAGCTCTTGTGTAGATTTGTGATCCATTTTTAGTTCATTTTTCTATATGAGAGCCAGGAAAAGTATGTATTCTCAACAAACCCTCCTTTCCAGCTGCACTTCTTCTTGGCTTATTTGAACCCAACTAGATAGCTCACACAGAGATAGGAAGTAATCTTCAACAAGGTATAGACGGTAACAGAAATCACCTCTGGAGAGATGACACCCCTGTATTCCTTTTTGTGTAAGTCAGTATCTGATTTTGATGTCAGTGCTTTTGAAAGTGCCTGGCTGTGCCAGGACAGAATCTACATGTTGAAAGCAGCTCCACCGGGTATGAAAGAGGTTATACAAAAAGCAGTTGCCCCATGCAGTAATCAAGTTAGAAAAGGGCGAGCCTAAGGAAGCCACCTAATTGGCAAAGGAAAGCCCAGCAATTAGAGAACACCACCCACACGGCTTGGATTTACCCCACCTGGCTGTTTTCCTACAGCATGAAAAAAAAAAGTCAAAACAATCAAACCATTTTCTAAATGGAATAAAACATTCCAGTGCAAGCAATAATTAGAAGACAACTACCCTCCTGGCTGCTTTCCGAATAGACCTCTGGCCCCTGCCTCTCAGCACCTGAGACATGCAATTATCCCCACACCCTCCCTGCACCAGGACTACACATTCACATGCACCCTGCAGCCCTGTCTGGGGGCTTGCTTCCTCACTAATTCCCAGAGACACTTTGTTCCTTAGTGCAGAGAGGCCAGGCAACCCACTGGACATAAGGTCACAAGCATCTCTGTCTCTCACAAAAACACCTAGAATGAGGCACTTTAGTAGCTGTGTCTGTTGGAATTCCTACTCTGAACTCTAAATTGAGGGATGTGACTGTCCTGTAGCTGAGGATGTCAAAATGGACCCTTCTGCTTTCTTTGTGAGGCACTTAGATGAAGTTCAGGCAGTCACCTCAGAGAGAACAAGATGGCAGTGTAGAAGTGTGAATCTGCCTTCCTTCACCTTCCAGACAAGAAACAGTTCCAGAAAGGGCTTTCAGGGTCAAAGTGAGCCAAGAGCAGAGCTGGGCTTGAACATAAGATCCCTAACCACTCAAATCTAACATTTTTAGCAGCAATTTATTCTGTGTAGTGTGCAACGAACACAGGACATGCTGCTGTGTTTTCTGATTCCTATTCATCTGCACTTACCCAACAGATGCTTATGAACTTAGAGTTTTGCTTCTCTCTCCCCTCCTCCCTCCAGCCCTGTGGGGACCACAGAATTGATGACAGTTTCAGTGATGCAAGGGGGAAAATGTCTGGGTTCTCCTGTGTGAATCTCTCCCATGGCATTACTGCTCACATTAGTTACTTGTCCCAGCCTGGGGACTTAGTGTCACACAAGGCCTCAAAGTGTGTCCCAGTGCCAAAGCTCTGAGCAGGGGACCAACAACCCAAGACTCCTCTCGATTTTGTAGATAACAAACAGTAATAAAAATGGCAGCTAATATCGATTGTCTATATCCTTTATGGCAAGAACTGTCCTAGGTATTTTATAGATGTTACCTCAGTTAGCACAACCCTGTGAAGTGGATGAGGTTTTACCAAGGAGTCCAGGGTCATATGGGTAATAACCAGTAACAGTTCCACTGAACTGTTGACTCCTAGGGACAATGCCAAAGCTAGGCAAAAAAAAAAAAAAAAAAAAGCATGACAGTATAGTCCACCCACATTCTGGTTCTGGTTTGGGATTGGATCCTCTTTCAGAGGAAAGCCAAGTTTAGGTTTTAACACTGCAGACCACTGAATAATGAGACGTTTTCAGCCTGATACAAATGCTGTGGATACAGAAAAGGAATATAGGATAAGTGCCCCGTCTAATGCGCAAGATTAAATTTACTCAACCCGCTATAGGTTACAGATGCTGACCAGTCAAAACTCGTCAGAGATCCTATCTCGATCTTGGCATCTCTGTCCTTGGCAGCCTCAGGAATAAGTCTGAGAATCAAATACTAATCTTTTTCCAGTTCCAATTAGGTTACTAGCCGTGAGACATCTTTATTACCCAACTATCTTTCTCTTTCCTTCTCAGTACCTGAAGAGATAGCCTTGAAAGAGTTTTAGCAGGAAAATATGTGAGGCAATCCAGAGCTCAACAATGCCTTGATGTTCTGAAGGAGTCAGAACTCAACCCTCACAACCGAACGCCAAGCCTTTGTTGCTCCCGCCATTTTGAAGTTCCTGAGCATCCGTAAGTTTCCTGCCTGCAGTCCATTCCCCACCATCATTGACACATTTCCATTCATCCACTGCAGACAGCCTAATGGTACCTCTTCCATAAGGCCCTCCCTTCTCTTCTGAATCCTGTCAGTCCCTCCTCTGTTGCCCTGGTTACTTTGTGTAACTTAGTTTTCAGGTCTGTGTCCCTGACTTGACAGAAAATATTTTTTTATATTCTGTGTGTTTTGATTAATGTCTTAATTGTCATGCAAAGCATTAGATTTCATAAAGTATTTTGAAACACCTCTTGTTTGTGATGACTTTCCCCCCTTTCTTCCCATCCTCTGCCTCCCCTTGTACTCCTCGCCTCATCTTTCCTGTCCTTCAACACCTTTTTCTCCTGTCACAGGCCTTCTGAGTTTCATGACTTATACCCACACTCATAGCCACCATATAAAAACACAAAGGGTCACAAAACGTGTTTAAGGTTTTAAGAGACAGATTCAGCTTGTCACTTCATCTCTATTATCTATTACAAATTAATTGGTCCATATGCTATTGCTAACATGAACTAAAAGCTTTGTTCTCTTCTCTCCTGAAGGAACCTGAGTTTGGTTTGCCTAGAATGTTCTCGGAGGTTAAATCTGCAGAGTTACTTCCATTTTGATGTGTAGGGTTGATAATCACCATCAACAACCCCACAACTGCGCCAGCAGTAGAGTGGCTGATGAAAAACAAGTGATGTCAGAGCCCAAGGTGCACTCCTGTCACACAGGGGACTGGGAGGTGCTGGCCCAGAGGACTGGTTGTCAGTTCGTTATTCAAATGACTCATGAGAAGAGCTGATAACCAATTTAACAATACTCTGCTACTCGGGAGACATTGATTTCCATGATGATGATTGATGGGGAAAGAGGTAGGTGGTGGAACTTAAAAGGAAAAGAACCAAAGGGATGTGCCCCAAGCAGGCAGGGAGGGGCATGCATGGGAATGCAGCCCAACACCTCTCACTCCCAAAGTTGGTTCCTTTAAAGAACTACAAACCCCCCCACCCCAGTTTCCACCGTAGGTTCCATGTGTATAGTAGAGCCTTATAGAATGTTTAGAATAACTATTTATCTGAATTTCATTGTCCTTTACATTCAACTTCTGTCTGCAACTGTCTTCACTACCTCATCTGAACTCTTTGGGGTCTTATCAGCAACCAATTTTAAAGATCCCTGCATTCAGGGACATAGGCTGTCACTACTGCTGGGAGGGAGACAGTTCTTTGGAAGCACTAGCAGGTGGGATTCAGAATAGCAGACACTTGTAGACTTCCTTCTTTGATTTCTAAGAAAACTGAAAAAAAAAAAGAATATCTCTCTGGTTAAGAGATGAGGTCAAGTTTAAATGTCCCCCCTCCCAGCCAGCACCTCAGAAGACCTTCATGTCTTGAAGCCCAAACTACCCATGCTCCTTCCTGCCTCCCCACTGACCCATGGTGGGAATTCTCGATATAAGGATTGGCTCGGGGTTACATTCCTTGTCCTTTCTTACCATTTTCTTCCATTTCATCCTGCGGTTCTGATACCAAGTCTTCACTTGCAGCTGAGTAAGTCCCAGAGACTGGGCCAAGTCCAATCTAGAAGGCACGAGACACAAAAGAAGGGTGAGGAAGAGAGGCAAAAAACAAGAGACCTGGGTCATGCTGGCTAGTACCAGGCACTTGCTTCTAAATCTCAGACTGTCACCATTAAACCAGTCCATCCCCAAGAGGAAGAGTGTCTCCCCTCTAAAACACTGTGCAGGAAACTGGAAGCTTAGAAATAGTGGCCATGTGCCAGAACACAGGTGAGAGTCCTTGTCCTAGACACCTTCTCTCTCTGAAATGAACCGGACATCTGAGCCTTCAATCGTCACCCTAATCCCCTATAAAATGCATATTTCGATCCCTAAACACTGGAAATAAAAAGCGAAGCTATACATCTATGGGAACTCTACCCACCAGTTCCAATCCACCTCCAGCAGGTGAGTCCCCGAACTCCTATGACCCCTCCAATTCAGCAGTCCTCCAATGGACAACGTTGTCAGCTATCTTCAGAGCAAGTGTTACTTCAGCCTCCCCAGCTCAAGACCAAGTCTTTCCACTTAATTTATGTCCCCAGAAGTATCTACTACTATATTGCTAAATCCAGAAGCAGGGTTCAGAAATAGTTTTGCATAGCCATGTGTGTAAGTTTAGGAGCATTCATGTCTGTGTGTGATGAGCAAACACTCAAAGTTGATGTCAGGTCTCATCTTCATCACACTCCACTTTATTTTTTGAGACAGGGTACCTTGCTGGACCCAGAGTTTTCCCATTGCCCTGGGTATCCCGTGTTTCTGTGTACTAAGTGCTGGCCCTTCAGGGATCAGCCACACCTGTCAGACACGGGGTTCTGGGGATCTGAACTTCAGTCCTCACAATCGAGAAGCAAGTGACTCATCCACTGAGCCATCTCTTGAGCCCCAGGAATTTACTGTAGCTGCCCTAAATTATTATAATGACTGGAATGCAAAACCATAAAGAAGCATTAAATCCATAGTCCCTCCTGCTTTCTATGCTCCTCGTGTTTCTACTTTTCTCTATGGCCTTCCGAAAGGCCCTAAAGTCAAAGCCATTGCCATGGAGGGCACAGTAGGAGGTAATTCCAAAACACAACAACCATTTCCAGAACGTGACAGCATCCCAGAGAGATTAGAATTTCTCAACCATATAGCCAAACCCTTCCTGACGCTTGATTTTCTTTTAAACAAAGTTTATTGGAATACAGACAAGTTTGTTTGCTTTCATGCTGCTCATGGCTACCTCTGTGCTACTTCAGCAGATTCGATCAAGTAGCTACGACAGACCATGTGTCCCAAAAGCCTGAAATAAACAGTCTTCTGGCTCTATTTTTGCTGACTCCTGGATCCTGGAGAGAGAGTGAAATCCACCCATGGCTGACATGTATGCCACCTTCTATGTGAGGGCCACCTGCTATGTGAGGGCCCATCTCACAACAATTCTCTACAACGCAGAACTGTCTAAGGGACACAAAAATGCCACAGCCTGAGGGCATAGTTAACACTCCAAAAGGAGCACATGTGGGAAGGGGCAATTAGTCAGGTTTCTACCCTTAGTCCTCAAGGCTGCAGCCAGGCACCAGTGTGGTTACCTGGGCACCATGTGAAGGGACTTGAGATTTGAGAACATGAGTTGCCTGCCTGCAATTTCTCTGGAGCACCCTGCTCAGTGCAGCAGTTCAGATTTGTACATCAGCTTGAGCAGTGGCCACACTGCTACTTGAAGGTTCCCAGGTTTCTGAGAATTGCCACTTGCAGATCTAGGGCCGCTATTTCTAGCAAGCCTGCACAGGCTCAGACCTAAGCCACAGGCAGTCCAGGTGTGAGGCCTCCGCTGCAGCTTTTTCTACCTGAGGAGATGGAGCATTGGCAGGAACACTGAGCTCTGATCCTGGTATCAGCCAATTCTTAGTGCTCACAGGCACAGCTGCCCAGAACTCCTGATCAGGGTTTATTAATTAAGCCTCTAATAATAATTTAAAAATTAGAGTCTGCCTTTAAAGGAGTATTGAGCTTGTCTTAAAGCTACTTTTGTACATACCTGATCATCCCTGTAGAGGGGCTACTAGCAGCTGAGCATTTTATAACCCACCAAAGCAATAAACTCCCAATGCTAACAGCAACATTAATGAAACACTATGCCCTAAGCAGTCACTCCTATGAACCAGCAACCCAGGGAGGGGTCCCACATTTCTGGTCCAGAGCTATTCTGGGCTCTGGTAGTCCTAAGGGTCCTCTCGGGCTCCTGCAGGGTTTTCCCTGAGCCTGGTTCACCTGAGGCCATCAGGTGCATTAGTCAGTGGAAGGTTCATAGTTCTGCCATGGCATTAGCAAATGCTGTTAGCTCACTTGGGAAAAATGCATCCTTGACTCACACTGGCTGCAGAAACATCTCACTGTCATCAGCTTTCTCTCATTACCTGCCACCGTTACAAATTCTCACTTCCCTGCATATTCACTCAAATGGAGTCACCTAGGAAACTGGGGAAACAAACACAGAGGAGGAGGAGGGCAGGAGCTGTGGGAGGAGGGAGTGCTCATGGCTCTGGTCACGTAGGGAGAGAGAGGGCGGGTTGAGGCGTCAGCTTCAATGCCAGCCAGATGGTGTCCTCCCTAGCAAGTGAATCAGTTCTGTGTGGGTCACCTGAGAGATGCCTGGGCAAGCATCAGGAAGCCCCAACAGATTTATTAAAAATTAGCATTTCTAATTTTTTTCTTTTTAGTTCTCTAGTTCCTGAGAAATAAGCCCAATTCTACCCATACTTTCTGAAGCCTCTTAGATACACAACTGGACAGCTAATGATGGCTGTCCCACCTGGTCACACAAGCTTAGTTACCTGTATTAATTCCAAATTCACAGACCTGACTGCCCAATGTGACCCCCCCAGTGTGAATGTTCAAGCAATGCTCACTTTTGCCCATTAATCCCAGCCTGCCCTGGCCTTTCAGCTTTAGTGAATAGCATCCTTGTTCCTAGTGGCCTGCCTCATTCAGGAACCACAGGACACTCAACTCTCACCCTTCTCCCTCATCCAGTGTCAGTGCTGCCCATTCTACTTCCAAACACCACCACCCCACCCACCCCCAACCCCGACTTCTCCTCTCTATTCCCAGTGTGACATCCTGCAGCTATCCCTAGATCCTTTCATAACTGCTTCTCTGCCCATCCATCACTTGTCAGTTGTGGTACTACCAAAGCTATGATCCAAACATGTAAATCTTGACTGCCTCAGCAGCAAGATCTTGTTCTTCAGCCAGGCATCTGGGGTCTTTCTTACCCTATTCATGCCCTGAGTGGAAACACTTATGCTTGTAGTTCCTACAATGTGCCCAGTGAGACCAACAGTCTACACCTTTTGGGGCATCCCTTCTATGTAAACTACTCTGTCTCTTCTGGAACCAAAGCTCTTCTTAAAGGCTTCCCTGCCACACTTAGCAATATCTGTGGGTTTCCATGGCAACATATGGCACCGGTACTGGTTCACTATGCTATAGCAATTATAGTCATTCTTAACTCAAGTCCTTCAAAGCAGGGCTTCATTTACTGCTTTCTGGACTCCCACCACCCCATCCCATCCCACCCCCGCCCACTCCTGCTTTGCCAGCACCCAAGCAGCTGACTTGTGGAACCAGTAAACAAATTCTCCCTGAAGGGGTGATATGCAGACTGCTCTTTCACTTCCATCTTCTTTTCTAAACAGCTACTAAATAGCTCAGACATTCATCTGCATTTACTTCCCATTCTCTTTCATAGCACTGGGGTCAACCAAATACAAACAAAGCAATTTTAGTAAAAGAGAAAAAATGATTTTTAGAAAGACCAGGGAAAAGTCCCCTAATAAATAGTCTCATCCCTGAGTTCAGCAATCTCTGGGTGAGATAAGGCAACAAGGCAAGACACAACTCAGCGTATTTTGTAGTTGAGATTTTAAAGACCAGGGTGAGATATTAGGCCTCTACAGAAAGCAAGGGTTACAATCACCCCACCCGCTGCATGAATTGCAAAGGGGTCTAAAGAGAAGACTTCCTTCCAGTTTTGCAGGGATCTCTGCCAGGTGGCTCTGCTTCAATCCTGATCAGACTCTACTACTGTGGAATCAGAAACCTCCTCCCCTGGATCAATCCAGGCCTTTCCCAGCCAAAGCTAGGCCAGCAAACTAAATCCACTAGGTGTTCAAGGTGGGATGGGAGAGCTGAAATCAAAGCTCCAGTGTCCAGGTCTAGACCCAATGCACATGATGCTAAATGTTGGGGGCTTTAAAAGCTCAGCTAGAAGCCCAGTGGTGGTGGCAAAAGCCTTTAATCCCAGCACTCAGGAGGCAGAGGCAGGTGAATCTCTGTGAGTTTGAGGCCAGCCTGGTCTACAGAGTGAGTACCAGGAGAAACCCTATCTCAAAAAGCAAAACAAAACAAAAACAAAAACCCACCTAGATTCGCTGGATTTTCCTCTGCTTTTTACACTGAAGAGGTTTATCTAACACATAGAAGAGACAGAGGAGGGCATACATTCAGGCTCTGGGCTGATGTACTAGATTCAGGTAGGCTGCCTCATCTAAGCCAATGTTGACAGGGATTGAGCAAAGGAATAAGAATCTGGACCAAGAGTGTAAACCAGCACTGAGAGAATCCTCCGTAAATCCATATCCCACAGAGAGCAAAACACTTCTCCAGGGTGTTACCTACAGAGAGTGCCTTCCTATGCCCTCACCTATCTGGGGTAGACAAGTACTTCTGTTTCTGAAATTTCTTCTCCAGGCCCATGAGCTGCAGCTCTGTGAAGATGGTGCGACTCCTGCGTGGTTTCTTCTGCCGCTGTGTGGGTTGTTCTGTCTCAGATTCGCTGCTGGCTAAAGCCTCGCCTCCAGGGGTCTCAGCTGTAGCAGCCTCAGTGACTGGATGTCGGGATAACACTGGGGTGATTCCTGGGCCGGTGGGAACCAGGTGGGAGATAACCGTGGGCTGTCGGGTGATCACAGAGAGGAGAGGATATGCCCGTAAGGAAGGAGAGCCTGGAAAACAAAGAGTCAAGTCACCACAGAGCACAGGCAAGACCAGGGATGAGGATTCTGAAGAGAACCCTTTGCAAAGCTCTGCATGAATGCTGGGCCTCTTGCTCATCAGAAGGTTCAAGTGGAGCAAGCAAAAAAGAAAAACAACTCAAGAACCCAAACTGCATGGTGGGTCAAGCATACGGAGCCTTGCGTCAGCTTGGTGTGTGAGGCCATCTGTGCCCCATTTAGCCAAGAAAGGTCCTTGTAAGTCCTCTCATTTAAATAACTCCCTTTCCCCCTGTGAACACCTCAATTCTGGTTTCAAACATATAGATCAATGGAACCATGCAAATAAAAAACAGTAGCCAAGAGGCTAGAAACATGTTCTTCTGGATTCCAATAACAGATCTGTAATATGCAAATTCCCTAAACAAACAAACAAACAAGAAACTCCTATGGTCTTCTTCAAAGGCCTGCTGATAAAATCATAGACTCCAAACCTCTGTGCCTTGAATCATAACAATGTTCAGAGCAGCAGGATGCCTAATGATTACTGCACTCAACACCCTCATTTCAGGGCAAACTAGTCTAGAACAGTTAAGTGACTAGCCTAAGACAATGTAACCAGGAAATGCAGATCAAGGGGTCAAACCACAATCTCCTGGCCTAAAGTCCAGGGCTCTTAGCATCAGTTCATGAAGCACATGTTTGGGGGGAGGGGGCGCACACAGATCTTTAAAATTTATGAGGGGGCAACAGATGTTTAATTCACATAAAAATGGCTCAATTATGACTAGTTACCAGCAGCACTGTTTAAGGAGGGTTCTTAGGCTGGGTTGGAACTTTCTGGGATTGATTAACAGTGTCTGCCACAGGCAGGTGGTGGGTGCAAAGGTTCAGGGATATATGTACTGGTTTTACACTACTTCTTAGGAATTCAAAGCAAAAGGGCTTTTGCAGCTAACAATCTAAGTCTATAAAGTACACATAAAAGTGCCCACTTTCCTTTTACTGTTTAATTGTATGAGGTTTAAAGTGTCGGGACTGTCACCTATGAATCTCACTTTGTCTCTCCAGATAATAAGAGTAGCTAACTTAAGAGAACTCTTCAAATTCTGACATACCGATGCTACCAAAGCATCTCTCACCCCACATTCAACAGCTGATAGAACAGGGTACTGCCCTTTGAACCCTTGCCAGCAGCCACAAGGGCAGAGCAAGTGAGAGTCGACCATATTCACACTAGTCCTGGGCTGAAATCAGTTACACCACAGAAGCCCCCAGGTGCTGCTGCGAACCGGCTCTCCTCTAGCTTGGCATTGCTCTTTGTATTCATTCCTATGCCTGTGTTCTGGAGGCCAGGCCTAGTCATTAAAACAGATAGCTGCTCTTGTTCTTTGAGTATGGTCTAGAGAGGCCTGGCAGAAACCGCAGAGTTGTTAAGTAACAATAAATCACCAAGTGCAACAACTTCCACGAACCCTAAAGCCAACTCTTAACACTTGAGGTTTTGTGCTGTCGATTCACTTTAAGAAAAACTAAAAATCAGGGTTGGAGTGATGGCTCAGTGGTTAAGAGCACTTCTGTCCTTCCCAAGGGCCTGAGTTTGGTTCCCAGCACCTGTGATAGGCAGAACACATCTGTCTGTAACAGGGGATCCCAGGCCTCTGAATTCCAAGGATACTGCACTCACTTGCACACACCCATACACTGGCACACAAAATAATAAAAGTTAATTTGAGAAAAAATCATCTAGAAATAGTACTTTATAAGAAGAAAAACACAATCCTAGCTGTGGACTTTCAATTTCTCAGAACACATCAGAAACGACCCTACATAACAAAGTCTCTGGAAGCTTCTATAAAGACAAAGGCTTCTCATCTCCAATCACTTTCCTTCACACTTTGTTCTCTCTTTGTGAAACAAGCTTCTGATCTAGGAATTCATGAGTTTGCCAGCTAGGACATGGAAAATATCTACTTGCAAGTCTAGGTTTTCGCTACTGTTCCCATTTGTAAAGGAGTTGAAAGTTTTTTTTTTTTTTTTGCTAAAAGTGGTATAATATATTGTGTTGACAAAGATGTGGAGTAATAGGCACATGTATACTGATGCTGGGAACATAAAACAGGAAAAAGCATTTACCTGCCCACCATCAACGTCTACCAAGTCACTAACATAAAACCTAGTATGAGTTCTACTGTTTGTGTATACAGGGTTGTGTGTGCCAGTATATCCATATCCACTACAGTCCTGTTTACAGTAGTGGAAGAGGCCACAATCCACAGACCTATTCACAGGACAATGAATTGGGATCTACTTGTAGTGTTCACTATCTGTATGATCTGATAAATATATAGATGAATGGATAAACTAATTACCCAAATATATATTATTAAGTGAGAAAAATACAGCAGAAGAATTCTGTCCTCAGAAAAGCTGTGTGACAACTGTTACAAATGCATTTTTTTTTTTTTTTAGAAAACCAAAAAGCTATTTCCCTCATGAATAACAACCTCAGGGGGAACGGTGGAAGTAAAATAGAATAGAAAGGAATCTACTGGTGTTGATCTCATCCAGTATGTAATCTTCTGAGCATAGACTATGGGCCACACATTCTCTGGAAGCTGAGGTTACAGCTATGAATCAAGTAAAGTTCCACCTTTGTGGAATTTACATTTTGGTAGAGCCAGCAAGCAGAAAGTAAGTAGTAGAATCATTGGTAGTGGTGAACTCTACAAAGAAAGGTACAGCAAAGTGAGAAGACAGACAGAGAAGGTACGTGGGAAAGGATCCTGGAAAGGCCTGTGAGGAAAGATAGCATCTCACTGTGCTAGAGTCTGGAGAAGACACAGGGTTCAGCTCCAAAGCACAGAACCAGTGTATGCAAACCCATTCAAGGGAACAAGCTTTGACTCAAGACTACCAAATAGACAGAAGTGAGGAGAACAGAAAAGTCCAGAGAGACCTGCTGGTGTCAGGTCACATGGAGATGTGATTCAGAATGATGAAAAAGCCATCCATGGGATTCCAGCTGGGCCAGGACATGATCTGGCCTAATCATTAATGAGCTTTATGGCTACTGTGGAGAGCAGGATTTAGGAGCCGGTAGGGAAGCTACAAAACCTGTGAGGAGTAGAGGCTAAATCCCAGGTTCCTGAGCAGCGGTTCTTAACCTATGGGTCAAGACCCCTTTGGGGGGTCAACCCTTTCACAAAGGTCAAATACCAGATATCCTGTATACCATACATTTACATTGTGGTTCATAACAGTAGCAAATTTACAGTTACGAGGCAGCAATGAAAATAATTTTGTGGTTGGGGGAAAATAATATCATTAGGAAGGTTGAGAACCACCACCATAGAGTCCACATTTGTGGCTATGATGCTGTCCAATTCTGAGTATATTTCACTGATAGTGTGAAAGGGTCTGTTGGACAGTTTCAGGTGATAGCCAGGTTTTTTGTCTTAGCAATGGAGGAATGTCACTGAACTTCACCACAATGGACAGCCAGGACAAAGAGCAAGGATAGGTGCGGAAGCAAGACTACTGTGGTAGAGGAGTAGCTGTTAGACATCTCTCATGTGTGGAGGAGGCAGCTGGGTGAACCAGTCTGGAGTTCCAGGAAGCACAAGGCTGGAGGAGCTTTGACTGGTGAAGTGTCTGTGGCATTTTGAGCCATGAACTGAATGAGATCACCCAGGGAGTAAGTAGAAGAAATAAGAGATCCAAGGACAGAGCCTGGGGCATACCAGGCTCTGAGGTCATGAGGTGGGAGAGATGCCAGCCCCAGACAGCAAGGAAAGTACAATGAAATAGAAAGCCAGCATCCCCTGGTGTTCCAACACCCAGATGATACTTCTGCGTGTATACTCTGTCACACACTTGCGATATTTTTTTGTAAATTTTAAAAAGGCAGAATTCACTTAAATGAGCCTTAAGTTCCATTCTCATTCTAAAGTTTTGATATATTTCCCATCTTTCTTGAGCTTCTAAGAAGCTGGGCAAAGAGAACTGATGCATAAACTATGTTTGGTTTTGTGACACTATTGGAAAGCCAACTGATGGTCTCTTAGACAAAAGGGACTCTTTTCATCAAATTTTCTTTATGCTGGAAGATGTTTGAGTTCATAATTCATATTCTAGGTTGAATCATGTTCTTTCCTTTAGGATAAATTCCATTAAATGTGGAAAAGTAAAAGATTTCTTTTTTCTACAAGTGAAAAAGAAAACAGTCTTGGGGGGAAAACCTATGCTTCCTAAATTATTTAAAAGGTTACTCGAAATAGATCATAGATCCTAAATACACAGAAAAATCTCACAGCTTTGGAGTAGGCTGAGAATTCTTAGTAGTGGCACCAAAAATACAATGCATTTTTAAAATGGGAAAAGAAAAGATGATCCTCGTCAAAATTAAATCTTTCATATATAGCATGTTTTCTCATATGTGGAATCTAGATTTAAGTGTGTGTGTGTGTGTGTGTGTGTGTGTGTGTGTGCGCGTGGTGTAAGGGAAAGAGAGAGGAAAAATAGAAAGAGGGAAAAGAAATCTTAAGGGATTTCAAGACAGCAATGGGATATATTGACACAGAAGTGGAGACTGTGTAGGGAGAGAAACAGGACCAGGAAGAGGGGAGACAAGAAGGATGGGGAGTGCAATGGAGGAGTGAGATGACTAAGAACAAAGTATAGTGACATACAAGCATGAATAGTTCACAGTGACACGCCTTACTTTGTGTTCTAACTTCTGCCATGCAAAAGATAATATTGGGGAAAGAAAAAGGCATGCCATAGATTAGTGAGTGTGGGGATATGCATCTAAATTGATAATGATTTGCATAGAGAGTATATTAAAGATTTCAATTTTTAAAATGATAAAAACGAGCAAAAGTAGGCAAGGTGTGGTGATACATATCTGTAATCCCAACACTAGGGATGCTGAGGCAAGAGGGATGCAAATTAGAGGCCAGCTGGGCTACACAGTGACAACTAGTCAGACATATTTTAAATTTAATTTTTTA